AGACCTTCCTACCCCGGCTCCCGGCCCCCGGCCCGGTAGGTCACCTCCGCACCTCACGAGCTTCATCCTAGCGGCGCCGTCACCCACTCGACCCGAAAGGGCACCAAATACAGCGAGCAGGAACAGCGGCCGGGCGTATGAATGGCCGGAAGCGCCTGCTCCAAGGGCTCCCGACGTAAAGGGCGCGTAGCGCTGCGGACGCACGGCGGAAGTGCCGCTCTCCCTTCCGGCCGCGAGGAGCGTCACGGCGGCCCCTAGCGACTGGAGGAGCGCATTGCAACTTTTGGGGTCGCGAGGAAATTCGCAAATCCGGTTAGCAGGCCTGCGGCGCCAGAAGTAACAAACAGAACTTGATCTGATCGAACACAGCTTCTGAGAGAAGCCCCGAAGAGTATTCCAATTGTGTTTCAACACCACCAGGAACCTTAGCATTGCTTCATGCACCTGAAGAAAATCACATAACTCAGCTGATTGTTTTCACTTTGCGTTCTGAGCTCCAAAATAAACTTTTCTGCCCTCACCATTTTCAACATCGCAGCAACATATAATTGAAACACTCCCTTTGAAATGTGTTTCTCCGGCTCCCAGGGTGCCTGCCAAGCACACCTGCGTTTCTTCCTGTCCTATTCTTTCCAGGCCTCCTTCGTAGCTCATCCCTGATAGGCTGGGGGTACGTGTGGTTTCCTGCTGTAGCCCCCTGTGGTTCCTTCTCCGTAGTAGCTTAGAGTATCTCTAAAACCATGGCTTTAATTTGTATCTCTACTGTGAACTTCATCCCTGCTCACCTGAACTTTTTTTTTGGCATTAGGGATTGAATCCAGGGCCCTCACATCGAGATACCTCCTCAGCCCTTTCTATATCTATTTTTATTATTTTGAGATACAGTTTCACTCAGGATCCTCCTGACTCAGCCTCCCAGAGTACTGGGATGACAGGCATACACCACTACTTGTACGTTGTATTTCAATGCTCATTAAACTTAATGTGAAGCCATACATGGTGGCACATACCTGTAGTCCCAGCACTTGGGAGGCTGAGGCAGGAGGATTGCCATGAGTTTGAGGCCACCCTGGGTTACATAGTGAGACTGTGTCTCAAAAAAGAAAACAAACATCTTTATCCAGTTTCCAACCGATGGGCAAATAGGTTGTTTCCAAGATTTAGCTATTACAAACTGTGCCGCTATAAACATGGGTGCACATACTTCTCTGTGATGTGATTCTTTTAGTTCTCTTGGAAGGATACCCAGCAGAGGGATGGCTGGGTCAAATGGAACCTCCAGTCCAAGCTCTTTGAGGTATCTCCATATTGATTTCCATAGTGGTTGCACTAGTCTGCACTCCCACCAACAATGGAGGAGGGTTCCTTTCTCCCCACAACCCCGCCAACATTTGTTATTGTGTGATTTCTTGATAGCAGCCATTCTTTGT